GGCCAGTTTGGGAACCTGGGCAAGAACTTTGTTTAAGTCACCACTCTTCTTTGTTCCTTTGGCTCACACTTTGGATTTGTCCCAGTGGCTGTGTCTCGCAAGTTAGCAAATGGCTTGTTGAAATAAAAGTCTCTCATCTTAAAATCTTTCCTAGTAAATTTTTGTTCACAGTAGAATCTGCTTTTTAAAATATTAATAAGGCTCAATTGAGGGGGTTGTGTAACATATTTCTGATGGTATAAACTTTTTCCCTAATTAGGTATGTAAATATATGCACATATATTTTAATAAAATATGTAAAATAAAAACATTTGTTTCTGTCTTTAATAAATGAAGAGCATCTTCACCCAAAAGTGCATACATAATTCATCTTTTTTTCTCCCCAACCTGGCACTTATTTTTTGTGTTTCACTTGAAATAGGGCTCTAGGGTTTTTTTTCTAAATAGTTAACAAATTATCCCAGAACCATTTATTAGTTCCATCTCTTCACCAAGAGTTTCAGATACCACATATAGCATCATAAATACTTAGATATATTTGTCTGGTTCTAAGCTTTTTTTCTTTCTTCCATTTCCTTATCTATAAGGACTGGAGAATAAGGACCTACTCCTTGATTCATTGCCCCTAGGTGTGGCATATAGCTACATTTTTTAAATTATGGTAGCTTTACAATAAGAATACTGCTTTTATTCTTAATGTATTTTATGTTTTTTCTGAGTTTTCATTGGCCAATATAAAAAGTCTTCAAGATGAACATCAGAAATATTAAAAACAAAACCCCACAATTCTGAATAAGATGTCATCAAATGATTACTTATTTATTGGAAAGTAGTATTACCTTTACTATATTTACTTCCCAGAAGCATATTATTTCCCATTTTATTTGATTTATTATTTTAGTCTTCCTTTCCTTGATAGAGGTAATAACTTTCCAAGTAATTCTAGGGTTTCTAGGTTTCAAATGACATTATAAATAATAATTTTGTCTTTGCAGAACTTATTGCACAGGCTAGAGATGTCACTGTTAAATCACAGTGAAAATAATGATACCTGTGACTTTGATTTTTTTTTTTTTTTGCATTTCTGGCATTTGAACTCAGGACCTCCCACTTGCTAGACAGGCACTCTACCATTTGAGCCACTCCACCAACCAGTTTTTCAAAAGTAGGAAGTAGAGCCTTTAAGTTAGGAAGCCTGAAAACAAGATTTTCTGCTTTAAGTAAAGTCAGTGATTCAGGGTGAGAACCTGTGGAGTAAAGGGAGTGGCTCTGAGGATTGATGCTTAACACACTGAGTAGCACCTATCCTTGTCATTCTGATCTGTACACAGGTTATGATGTTCTGAATTAAACTCCAGAACAGAAGTAAGGGAATAAATAAATGCTATGTATTACTTTTTCAAGCATCTAATCACAAGTAGTTGTGGCATAATCAAATTGTATGGCTGTGGAGTATAGTATTTTAATGTTGGTATGGATTTCTACCTTGAAGAATGAATACCTTCCTGAATACATTGTCTTTGCAAGTGTAAGGTGTTTCTAGATTTGGAGAATTACTAGTCCTTTTGGTGAGAGGAAGAGGGAATAGTGCGATACAGATTGGAGACTAAAGGTAGAATGAAGCAACGCAAAACTGCTTCGTGTACTAAATACTTCCAATGTTTGACATTAATAGAATTTGTTTGAAAATCAACCTGAAATCCTAATGTACAAAACTGTTTATTACTGTGTGGAATTTTGAATGATTAATAGTCACTACTGTTTCACCAAAAATTGTACCAGTAGATATTTCTATCCCAAATTACTGTGCAGATTTTTCCTGTTCTCTGTATGTCATTTTTATATTCAGTGGCACAGCTCATTTGGTTGATTGAGTTGTGAATAGTTAGTAATTACTTGGGGGAAAAGATAATTGTGAGCAGACCTAAACAAAGTAGAAAAAATATAATAGTTTTGGTTCACCTTCCAAGTTTATTTTCAATGGGGCTATTCTACCTTACTGTGTATTCTGTACAAATTTCATAATCAATTACTTTATACAGAGACTTGTATTAATCATTATGTAGTTACTTTTTCTGGCATGGTACATCTTTTCATCACAGTAGTACTTTTGTTCTCCTGGTTTCTGTTTGTCGATTTCTTAACCTTTCTTGCTGGCTGTGTGGTTATGTGTGGTTAAAGTGGTTATGACTATGATTCTAGAGGGAAGGATGTATTGAGCACAAAATTTTGATCTAGTTTATAATCTGAGTGATACTCCTTGAGAGATAGTATCCTCTAACAAGACAAATTGATATAGGTGGATGTGGGGGGCTTTATTGGTTTTTGCTTGTTTGATTCTTGGTGGGTCTAGAGTTTGAACTCGGGGCTTTGCACTTACAAAGCAGGTGCTTTGCTCCTTGAGCCACACTTCTAGTCCATTTTGCTGTGGTTATTTTAAAGATGGGGATCTCTCGAACTATTCACCCTGACTGGCCTCAACCCTTGATCCTTCCAATCTCAGTCTCCCAAGTAGGGATTACATACATGAGCCGCTGGCACTGGGCAATGAGCGTGTTATTTGCTGATTATCAAACATCTAATAATGCTTTGGGTTTTCTTTTTGATCCTAAATATTCTGTTTTTAAAATTTTTCTGGATTCCATTCCTTTAACTCAGTTCCAATGTAAAGATGTGAGGTTTGATGGAAGGATTGTGCCTACACAACATAGATCTTCAACACTACCAATAACAAAGGAAAAGATAAAGTTTTTAAGAGAAGACAAAGGTGAACAAGGATGTAAGAAACCAAAGATTAAGATGTTGTTGACCTTGGTTATGGATATTCAGGACAAGCTACTGAGTGAACAGTGATCTTTCTCCCAGTCACTTGGCAAAGTCTTCAATACTTCCATTTCCCTCACCCTAACATCCTGTAAATTACCAGTTGTGATTGACTCTACATCTGAATCATGTCATTCATCTCCTCCTTCCATTTCTACCACCACTGCTCTACTTCAATTATATCATCTTTATTTCCTAAATAATGTTTCTATTTATAAAGATAGCCTTTACATAACCATTAGGATTACTTGTCTAAAATTCAAATGCATAATGCCACTTTCTAGTTTAAAAACCTGCATGTGGCTCACACCTATAACCCTTGCTACTAGGGAGGTGGCAATCAGGAGGATGGCCAATGAAGCCAGTCCAGGCAAAAAGTTTGTGAAACTTCATCTCAGTCAATAAAGCTGGGGAGTGGTCACTTCTACCTGACATCCCAGCTCTATGAGAGGCTGTAGGTAGGAGGGTTTGCAGTCTGATGCTAACCCCTTGCAAAAATGTGAAACCTTAGCCTGAAAAAATAACAAAATCAAAAAAGGGCTGGGGACCAGGAGCTGGTAGGGCTCATGCATGTAATCCTGACTACTCAAAAAGCAGAAATCAGGAGGATCTCAGTTTGAAGACAGCCCAGGCAAATAGTTCATGAGATCTTACCTCAAAAATACCCAACACAAAACAGAATTGGCAGAGTTGCTCAAGTGGTAGAATGCCTGCCAAGCAAGCATGAGGCCCTGAGTTCAAAATCAGAGTACTGCCCAAAAAAAGAAAAAACAAAATGTTTTCTAAGTTCACACCCTACAGTAATGGCATTTAAGACTTTTTATAATCATGTCTTGTCCTACTTTTTCCTAACCTGCTATACCACCATTCCCTTCTACGTGCCAGACTGTATTTCTGAGTTGCTGAAACTTGCTATAGGTTTGTGCTCTTGCCTCCATATTTCTTTCCTGGGTTCAAGTCCTATAAGCTTCAAACACACTATATCTTCTCTTTGTAAAGTTTTGCTCACCTCTTTTCCTTAACCCCCAGCAGAACAAATGGTTCCCCACTGTGTTTCTGCTATTTGTTCTGTATGCCTCCTGTTAAACCCTTTTTCACATTGTGTTGTAGGTGGTCTCTGACAATATGTTGACTGCCTGCAGATGCTAGTTGTCTTGATAACCTATTGTTTATATAGCAAAATTCCTAGTACATAAGATATGCTTTGCACATTTTCCTTTTTTTCTTCATAACAACCAATGATGTTTGTGCTGTGGTATTAGTACATCATCATGATTTTACAAATAAGTGAGCTGAGCTGAAAAAGCCTCACAGCTGGTACAAGGCAAAACTTGACCAGTATAGACTCACCTGTCTCCTGAAGTCTATACTCTTTAACCATTTTGCTCATTTCTCTTTCCACACTTGTGTGTCCTCAGGATATGCTCTTCAGGAGATGCTCTGTAAGTGTGCTTATTGACTAAATGAGTAACTGCCACAGTAGTTGGGCATGGGTTGGTAGTATGGTTTCTATTGAACAAGAGAGTGAACCATTCATAAAGATAAACTGTGGTTTTAAAACTTCAAAACAAATATAAACAAACATGTTGTTGACTGAGTCTCAGAAATGTTCAGTTTGGGGGATAATAGCTTGAGTGTCTAAATATGGCTAGCTTTTATAACAAAAAATACAGCATAGTGACATACAACTGTAAAACCGTCTAAGTTGATTTCCAGGAAACTGCTGTCCTGTTACTTCTGTCTTTATTCTGAAAGTCCTCACAAATCAGGTGATCCAAACGTACTTTCGCTGGCTTAACGCATTGCAGAGCTAGCCGCATGCATGTAAAATCTGAAGTGGAATACAGTAAATACAGGAGCAGTTAAGCTCAGCAATGTCTTGCAAAACACACTTTTTAAAATATAATTTGTCGTTGAAAAATGCTTTAAATGAAATTGTTATTAGTGCTTGTAAAAATAAGTATACAATCATTTATATATATACATATATATCAGTTTATACATATATATATATATCGGTTTTCTTGGGTTGTCTTAAGGGTCAAAGAATAAATAAGAATATTTAACATTTAAAAATCTTGAGAATGAATGTTGATTTTTAAAGAGTGTTTTTAGTTATTCATAACTAAATAAAGTATGCTATAGATTCAATTTTTTTACTTTTCCTTTCTGTCTAGTGCTGTTAATAACAGTACTTGTCGTGGAAGGGATTGCTGTGGCCCAGAAAACCCAAGGTAAAGTATACTCAAGTGATCACCCATTGCACATTCAGATGGCTGATTGAAAAGGACTGCAGCTCTTGAGCGCGAGTTCCACAATCCCTCTGGGGTAATCCTATGACCTAATGCTTGGTGTCTCCCTATCAGCCTCAATTTAACTGGGTTTAGCTACCGTTGACTAGAGTAAAATGTCAAAGTAAGTGTTGCTCTGATAAATTTTTTTTAAAAATTGGCCAGGCACTATTAGCTCATATCTCTAATCCTAGCTACTTCAGAGGCTGAAATCAAGTAGGATTGAGGTTTGAGGCCAGCTCAGGCAAATAGTTTGAGAGACTCCCATCTTCAGAATAACCAGAGCAAAGTGGACTGGATGTATGACTCAAGTGGTAGAGCACCCGCTTTGCAAGTGCAAAACCCTGAGTTCAAACCCCAGCCCTGTCAAAAAAAATTGGCATCACTAGTAACTCCTATTGTTGTAGGCTCTTGCAGTCTCTGATCAGAAGATTCCCAAACTCTGTATCCCACATGGAAGCATCTAGGCAGAACACGTGGGTGTAGTAAGGGAGGTAATGGAGTTTATTAAAGATTAAGGAAAGGAGTTACAAAAGGTGGGGCCAGGTTGAAGCTGGTAGCAGAAAGAGCGTCTTCTTTCCAGGTGCTTTTAAAACTTCCACTAACCTATGGGAAGGGAAGAACTTGGTGATTTCTAACCAGTAATGAGTGAGTGGGGAGGGTCATGGGTGGTCCCTGGGCTGAAGTGGGGGTGGTTAAAATTGTCTCTGGGCCAGGTTATGAATAATATACACACATTTGCAACTGAAATAAGGCTCAGACATTGCCCATATTATTTTTGATTTTTAGTAAATATTCAGTAAAGGCTGAATCAATGTCCATTAAAAATACTTTCAGAATTGAAAAAGAAATAAGGCTCAGAGAAAGAGAAGAATGTTCAACCTGAAATACAATATTAAGTCATACATGTTTTAAAAGCCCCAAATTTTCCTATTTTAAACTGCCTTGCTCTCACACTATGGATTATGTTCAAAAAATTAAATGAGTTTCATACTTCATGGAGAAGCAGACATTTAAAAATCCCTTTTTTCAATGTAAAGAAATAAAATTTTTCCATGAACATAGCATTCAAACCCTTTGTCCCATGACATTTGTCCTGATCTATGAAAGAAGATCAACTAGTGTGATTTTTGAACCAGATTTTCATGTTAGAATTTAGCATTTTCCTATATAACCTTATTCAGCTTTTATTTTCATCAAAGTCAGGTATACACATGACAAAAATCAAAGTGTACTAAATGTCCAAATTAGGATATACTAAATTACTAAACACAGTGTGTACAATTAGGAAAAATCAGTTACCCCTCTTACTCTTCCTATTTCCTGCTACATGGAAATAATCCCTCCCCTCTTTTTGTTGCAGTACTAGGGTTTGAACTCAGGGCTTTGTACTTGCAAAGCAGGCATTCTACAGCTTGAGCCACTCCCCCAATCCAAATAACCACTTTTTAAGCTTATTCTTTTGGTATTTCCTTTCATGTCTTTAAGTAACATGCTATACTACTAGTTCTTGATTATGTCATTTTTATAGAGTAGATACTAATTTCTCACCATAGAAGATGAGAATTTAGCTCTTTCACACCTACTGTCCTCCCCCATCCACATATAAGTGTTGCCGTCCATTTTACTGCCCTTCTTGTCATAGCTGTATCACAATTCTGGTTAAATGAGCTTTGAGACTTACATTAAGGCACACATCAAGCTTTTTCAGTACGGATTTTGCCTTTAAGTTTAGGAATTTTTATTTCTGTTCAATTTTTTAAATTATCTCTCCTCCATTTTCTCTGTCTGTTCAGAAATTTCTATTATGTGTTTATGGCCTTCTTGGGTTTTTATCTTTTTAGGGAGTGGGGTAGATTTTTATCTTTTTATTTTTATTACAGTTTTGCTTTGTTTGAGAAAAGATCACATTACGTAACCCAAAGTAGCCTTAAACACTCTACCCTCCTGCTTCTGCCTCCCAAATACTGAATTATAAGTGTGTGCCACCATAAGGCTTATTTATTTAATTTTTTCTTTGTTCTGTTTTGAGTTCAAGGCTATGAAGCCAGGCTGACTTTGAACTCATAATCCTCATACCTCAGCCTCCTAAGTACTGGTATTACAGATATGCACCATGTATCTTTTCCATCTCTCTTTGCTCTGCAGTCTGAGAGACTGCCTCAGCTTTATCCTCTAAAGCAGGAATTAAGAAAATTTCTGTAAAGAGTCACATAGTAAGTATTTAAGTCATTGTAGACCATATAGCCTCTGGGGCAGCTCTCAGCTTTTCTGTTATGAAAGCAGCCAGTACTTAGGCCAGTGATGAGTGTGAATGTGTTCCAGTGAAACTCCCTACAGTCATAAGCAACAGACCTCTGCTCTAAACTTTCTCATGCTTTCCTTCTTTCTTTATTTGGAAGCTTACTTTAGTTTTCGGAATATGGTTTTGGGGGTTTTGTTTTGTTTTAGAATATCTTTTTTGTTGTTTTATTTTTTTCCCTTTATTGTTGTGTTAAGTAGAATATCTTTATTCTTGTTTTATGAAAACAAGACAGTCTCTCAGGAGATTAAAGGAAGGTTTTTGTTTTGTTATGGTTTGGTTTGATTTGTTTCTTTTGTGGTACTGGTGATAAAACCAAAATCTTCTTGTGAGATCGGGGCCGCCACACTGGCTAGAATCACAGCTCTGTTAGCTCAGTGGCAGAGTTCCCCATTCACCCCGAGTTCTTTGTCTCATGAGTGCAATTAATGCAGTTCACAGACAACAGAGGGTCAGAATACAGAGTTTATTAAGAGAAAGGACAAAGTTCCCACATGAGGCAGGGCGTGGGTCCCAGCCAGGTGTCAGCAAATTTGGGGGTAAGAGGGATTTTTTAACCATTTGCTCCTGGAAGTAGCCCACTCTCTATGATAATTAGGTATACAGAAAGCAGCATTCTAATTGGCTGTGCCTGCAGCCTTCAGATGAGACCATGGTCTCACCTGTTCTCATTTTGGGCCTTCCACCTTTCCCACCCTCTTAAGTTCTGAGGGGAAGAGGGTGCTAGAGAAGTGGGCTGTTAAGGGGGGATGGTGTCATCTCTCCTGTTTGTTAGCAGATCAGGTTATAATGGAAGTTTCCTGGGGGCCCTAGATCCTAACTACACCTTCCTGATTTCAGCTAACTACCTAGCCTGTTCTCTCACTGGGGTTTGAACTCAGGACCTTGAGTTTTCTCAGCAGATGCTCTACCACTTGAGCCATGCCTCCAGGCCCAAAAAAAAGGTTTTATTCTATGTTGTTACTGGGTTTTTAAAATATTTTTCTGACATCATTTCCCTAGAGTTGGTTTTTTTTTTTTTCTGTTTGTTTTGATCTGTTTTTCATAGTAGAGGCTTTCCTCAAATGTCTGGTGATCCTTGTATGTCTGCTCACATTTTATGAAGGGCACAGGAAAGCTGATCATTAGTTGTCTACAGGCATAGTAAAGATTGTTCACTGTGGTCCTCACTGACCACTGGCCTGGCATCAGGAGTCCCTGAGTCTGTAGTTGAGTCTCTGGGAATGTGGATTAGTCTCCCCAAGAAGAGTCTTTCCTTTTCCTGAGTGGAAGTTGTGTCACTCCCTATGAGGCCCTTGGTGAGTTCAGTGGGAGAAGCCTAGGAGTACCATTCAGTATGTAAACACTCACTCATCTCCCTGTTTTCAGGTTGGTGTGTTCACCCTCAGCTGCACCTGTGTCCCATAGTCCACTAATCTAATTCTACCTTCTCGAAAGAAATTACCTTCAGTTTTCTTAGGTGATAGAGCAGCAACTGCCTATGTGAAGAATGAAGGGTATATGAATCCAAACTGATTATAGGACTTTTAGCCAATCTTACAGTTTTGTTTTGGGTTTTGTTTTGTTTTGGGGAGGTTTTTGGGGTTTTTTGGTTTTGGGGGGGGTTTTTTGATACTGGGGTTTAAACTCAGCTTCAAAGCAGGCACTGTACCACTTGAGCACACCTCTAGTCCTTGTTTTTTCTCTTTTATAAGCATTTTTATTAGTATGTGATATCTGTAAGGGGGTTTCATTGCAACATTTCCATATACACACACATTGTGCCCTGGTTTGGTTTATCCCCTCCATTATTCTCCTTCTTTCCACACTCCCCTTCTTAAAATAACTTCGACAGGTTTCAATGTTCCATATTCATACATGTGAAGAAAGTACCTCAGCCATATTCATCCACTTTTACCCTCTGCATTTGCCCTCCTCCTCCTGCAAATACAATGCCTTGTTTTTAAAAAGCCCAGTTCACATGCAGCCACTCACTCCACTTCCTACAACTGCCAGTTGTTACCGTTTTATCTACCTATTTATACTAATGGATTTATACCCATAAAAATCCTTTTACTATCGTTTAAGTGGAATTTAAGAAGGGAGCAAAACTAAATGTATTATCCAAGAACATTTTTTAACTAAAATTCTTCTCTAGCCTTTGAATCTTATTTGACTTTTGTGTTAAGATAAATACAAAGATACCATATCAGCAATAACTCCAGAGATCTTTGTATTATTATGTCAGACTGAATTTTATTAAGTTTTACTCATTTATCAAATTCTCCTTTGCCTTGTAAGATACAAGCATTTTATTTCCTATTCTCTTACATGGCAGACTTATCCTCTAGCAGCAAGTGCTGGAAAAGCAAGCAAATATACAGAATCTTACCTTTCTCTCAATTCTGTACTCAATTTGTTGTGCTAAATTTGGCACTGGTTCTTATGTAGTTATATATATGCAACAGAGTGGCAATTGTTTGAAAGTTGAGGAGGAAAGAGAAGAATGCTATTCTCTTTTACTGTACTGAAGTCTAAGATTCTGTTTTTCTCTAAGATGGACAAAATATTGGAATGAAACATATTCCTTCAACCCAGTGTGGTATTTGGGTTCGAACCAGCAATGGAGGTCATTTTGCTTCACCAAATTATCCTGACTCCTATCCACCAAACAAGGAGTGTATCTACATTTTGGAAGGTATTTGACCAGTTTGTCTTTTATTAGATGAATTTATTATTCATCTTTGTTGGAAAATTAATTCCATTGTTAAAATGACTTGTTTAAACCAATGTGATCTAAGTTTATATATTTGAGTTAAACTCTAGAATGATAAATATTTCTAAATATTGAGTACATTAACAAAAAGATAGTTCAAATTGTATGGGAAATTAGAATTACCTAACATATAATTTAACTAGGTGCATCAGTATATATGAGAAATTTCTCTGATAAGAAATTTAAACTCACCAGGTGCCAGTGGCTCACAACTAATCCTAAGTACCTGGGAGGCTGAGATTGGGAAGATCACAGTTAAGGCCAGCCAGGGCAAATAGTTCCTATCTGGAAATTACCCAACCCAATAAAGGACTTGCAGAGTGGCTCAGGTGGTAGAGCACCTGCCTAGTAAGTGTGAGGCCTTGAGTTCAAACCCCAGTACCACCAAAAGCAGGGGGCACAATAGTTTCAATTGTGTGCATGCCACTAACAATAAACTAAAGGTTAATTTTCATTAGTATATATACAAAACAACAGGTTTACCATTTGAGGCCAGCCTTGGCAAATAGTTTGCGAGACCCCCATCTCCAAAATTACCAGAGCAAAAGTGGACTGGAGGTGTGACCCAAGTGGTAGAGCACCTGCTTTGCAAATATGGAGCCCTGAGTTCAAACCCCAGTCCCACAAAAAAGAATTTAAACTCACTGGCATTCCTTATTAGGAATTACATAAATTCCTAATTACATAAATTAGGTATTACATAAATTAGGTATTACATAAATTTATGTCCATGTCCACAATAGTGAGTTGTTTTGTTTATTTTTCTGTGTGTCATACAGATCATGAACTAAGTAAGCTTAGCTTTTCAATTCTTCTATTGTAGTCAATCAAGTATATTTCACTAATAAACAGCATATACCAAAGAGAATGTTACTCTAGTCCCACAGTGGCATTATTACTAATGTAAAACATGACATTCGTTATGGCTATATATACAATAATTCTTGTCACAGTCCTTATCTGTGAAGCAGTAAACAGTGATTTGCTTTCCTTGTTTATGTTCGTACATGTAAATCTTTCTTGTTCATACTGCTCTGATTTGCTTACTCTTATTTTATAGCTGCTCCACGACAAAGAATAGAGTTGACCTTTGATGAACATTATTACATAGAACCATCATTTGAATGTCGGTTTGATCACTTGGAAGTTCGAGATGGACCATTTGGTTTCTCTCCTCTTATAGATCGTTACTGTGGCATGAAAAGCCCTCCATTAATTAGGTCAACAGGGAGATTCATGTGGATTAAATTTAGTTCTGATGAAGAACTTGAAGGACTGGGATTTCGAGCAAAATACTCATTTATTCCAGGTAAAGAATAAGTTTTCTTTTCAGTGGTTGAGCATTTCACTCAGATTTTGGAATCTGAGGGTTAGAAAAGGAGTAATTTAATCAAACCAAAACTTTAAAGAAATCATCAAGGTCAAAAGGAAGCCAGTCTTTGAACAAATAAAAATAGAACTATACCATCAAAATTTTAAGGCATATCATAGATGAGATCACATTTTCTTCTTAGATTGTCTTGTTTTATAGCACATAAGGAAGATCAACATCAAAATAAATACGTTTCTCTTTAAATAATTCAGCACATTGTCTTATTTTCACAATCCTCACAAAACTTATTTTAGCAGTGAGTTTTTTCCATTGGATTGATTGAATTAATGACTCATTTGATTACATAAATACTCTAGAAATGGAGTGGGCTTAAGTGGTAGAGCACCTGCCTAGCAAGCGTGAGACCCTGAGTTCAAACCATCACCACACACACACACAAAAACTGAGCAATAGAATGAATTCTGCGCTGTAGCTAGAGGTGAAAATTCTGGTTTGAATCCTTTCTGTGCCATCCAACAACTGTAAGACTTAAGTCTGGAGCCTGAGACTTGCCATTGGTAAGATGTTAATACCTGTTATGTTGGTTTCCTGGAGCTAACATAACTAATTATGACAAATCTGGAGACTTAAAGCAACAGAAATACATTATCTTACGGTTCTGGAGGTCAGAAGTCCCCCAGCAAGGCCTCACATCACTCCTGTGGGAACTTTAGGGGAGAACCTACTCTTTGTCTTTTCTAGCTTCTGTTGATTACCCCAGCATGTCCGGATTTGTGGCCATATTGCTGCAATCTTGGCCTCCATCTTTACCTCTCTTTCTTCTCTTCTCAAAATTCTTAACTTAATGGTACCTTTTTCCTTGTAATGTAATATTCGCTTTTTTATACCACATCACTGATTATAGGGATTGAGAGATGTAATATTTGGAGAGGGATACTGTTCAGCACACCGTCTTACCTACCTGGTAGGTAAGAACACTGTGAGGATGCTCTAACAACTATAAAGCTCTGTGCAGCGTAAAAGTATGTACATCCCTGATTGTAGAAACAAAATTCACAAGCTATTCTTTCCTGTCTCCAAAGAGCTCACAAACTTAACAGGATGAAAAAAAGAAAGAAGCCTCGCACCTAGCTAGTCAGGAGGCAGAGATCTGGAGGATCAGAGTTTGAAGCAACCCTATCTCGAAATACCCAGCACAAAAAAGGGTTGGTGGAGTGGCTCAAGTGGTAGAGCACCTGCCTAACAAGCATGAAGTCCTGAGTTCAAAACCCCAGTAACCACCAAAAAACAAAAACAAAAAAACTAAATGTAACAATTATGTGATTTTTTTTGCTTTTATTTATTTTTTCATGGAAGAAATTTTTAATTAAAAAAAATCTAAATGAAAATAAAATATTCATAATCCCTACCACCCTATGTAAAACCAGGATTATCTTTCCAGGTGGTTTTCTTTATTTATTTACATGTGTTTTACAAAACTGGGATGATGCTACACACACAACTGTTATTACTTGCTTATTGTACTTAAAAAGATAAACAACTTTGTTCTCCCATCAGTTAAATACTGTATTTTTCAGCTGGCCACTGAGGCATTGGTTCCTTCTTGTGTTCTGCCCTATACTTTTTAATCATTCTCTTCATGCTAGGACTAAGTGCTTGACTTCTCTTTAAGATCATTTTTAACAGATATCTACAAAAGACTCCCACCAAAATCATGTTAAGTAAAATTAAGCAGAAAGTGTAGTTATCATATACCTCCTGCCTCCCCTGCCATCAAAATCTTGCCCATTAGAATGGTGCATTTTTTTAGAGTTTATGAGCCAAAACTGACACATCATTATCACCCAAGATCCATGGTTTACCATTAAAGGTCACTCTTGCTATTACATGGTCTATGGACTTAACAAATGTATTGGGGACATGTGTCATATTATAGTATTACACAGAACCATTTGACTACCTTAAAAATCCCCTGTGCTATTCCCTTCTCCCTCCCACTAAACCCCTAGTATCACTGATCTATTTACTGTCTCCATAGTTTTACCCTTTCCAAGATGTCATGTATAGTTATAGTCATATAGTTTTTAGCCTTTTCAGATTGACTTCTTTCATTTCGTGGCTAGATAGCTCTTTTTCTTCTAGCATTAAATGATGCTTCATTATCTAGATGTTCCACAATTTCTTTATCAAGTCTATTAATAGATATCCTGGTTGCTTCTGAGATTTATCAATTATGAATAAAGCTGCTGTAAACATCCATGTGCAGGTTTTTGTTAGGATATGTATAAGTTTTAATTTATAATACATGCTACAGCATGGTGGAAACTTGATACATGATAAGTAAAATTATTAACCAGAAACAAAAGGACAGATACCGTGAGTCCATTTACATAAGCTATCTAAAGCAGTAAAAATCATAGAAACAAAAGTAGCATGGATATCAGGGACTGAGAGAGGAGATAATGGGGAATTAATGTTTAATGGGTACAATCTTGTAGTTTTGGATGACAAAAATAAAAAGTTCTGGAAACAAAAAGTGGTGATGGTTGCACAACAGTGTGAATGTACTTCTGTTCACAGAAGTTTGGGAACTAATGTTTATAACAAAATAACTGGTTTGATTAGGTCAGTCAGGTATTTTGTTTTTATTAATTAAGTCAATAAGCAGAAGTAATTGACCATTTTTGTGTCATAATGACACTACCATAAAAATCTTACACGTGAATCAGATCTTTACAGATAAGTTTAGTGTATTTGAAACAACAAATAGAAAATAAAAACAGTGCTGTAATTCAAATGATGTTTTTAAATATTTAAAAAATCAGCCAACTTGATGTGTAAAGATGCTTACTTTGTACAAAAGTAGCTCTTTTTCCTCTTATATATCATGAGAGAAAGCCTATTTTATAGTTAAAATATAGCCAAATTCTGAAATATTTAGGATTTGTACACCTCTTTACCTTTCATTTGTACTTTATAATGCTTCAGTTTCTATACACATATTTAATTTTATGCTAGTAACAGTAATATCAGGAGGATTATATAATAACCTATTTTATAGATGAGAGAGCTTAGAGATTAAGTGATTTACTTATAAAATGGTAAATCCAGGACTACAGTCCAGTTCTGTAGGCAACTTTTTCTACTGTCATTGTTGCCCTTAAATTGTAGGTTAGTATTCCATAGTTTTATCACTAAAAGAAATAAAAATAACTCATCAAAAATAAATAAGCAATGAAAAATTAGCTAAAATATGGATGTATCCACTATTATTTACAGTCATATTCCTAAAACATATTTTTTTCTGGGAAGTGGTAAATCTGCAAGAAACCTATTAATAATGGTGAAAATTTAGTATTTTTTAAAATGAAATTCTCTAAGCTATTGGTGATGGTTGTTGAGATAGAAGCTGTTAATGAGAGTTACTTCCTGGAAGTGACTTTGGTTAATTAGGGAAATTTTAATGAAATGATATCTTAAAATTCTTGCCTACATATGAAAATTTTCTTACTAATTTGCCAGACAGTTCTCTGACTTTCCCTCAATGCTGTTGAAGATGTAAATTTCTTTTTGACATTTCTCTGCAAAAGAGCTGAAGTGTTTACTGGTTGTCCCTTTTTAGCAAAGATGAGTTTAGTTTAAGTTTTAAAAACTAGAGTTTCTGAGGTGTATTAAGCTAATAATTTATTTCTACTTTTTTCCAATTCATAGTTTGATAACTTTCTAAACTTTAATTAAGGACAATTTTAAGGGCTGTGGAGTGGCTCAAATGGTAGAGGGCCTGCCTAGCAAGCATGAGTCCCTAAATTCAAACCCCAGACCACCAAAACAAGAAGGAAAAAAAAGACAGTTTTAATAAGAATTTAGTATGAAATAGGTTTTTCAGGCTAAATACACTATCTGGTATATACATGTTCTGTTTGAACTTGTAGATCATTTTTTGAGACAGCTGTGTTTGTAATTTTTACATTTTTTATTATGTCAAACATGCGTAACATAAAATTTACCCCTTAGCCATTGTTAAGTGTTCAGTTCAGTGGCAGCATGTGCACACTTGTGTTTTGCAACCATCACCACTACCATTCAAGCAAGGGTTTTTAAAGTTCCTAATATGATTGGACAAAAAAGAATTTCATTCCTTTTTAAAAAGCTGAGTAATATTCCATTGTATTGTATATGCCACATTTTGTTTGTATGTTTGCCTGTCAATGTAAGTTTTCAAGTAGGATAAACAAATTAGTAAGTCATGATGGATCCAAAGTGTACACATTGTTATGGAACAAGCATTAATCCCATAAGCGAGCTTGTAAGAGACTAGTGATGTGTATTCCATGTCAGTGATAGCTTTTCTTACCTTGCTGTTAAATGGAACTTTAGACATGACTTAAAACATTAATCCCTAAAGTAACTCAGTACCAATGACCTTCTTTTTTCTGTTACAGATCCAGACTTTACTTACCTTGGAGGTATTTTAAATCCCATTCCAGGTTTAGTATATCCCCTCTGTTTCCCCATGGCATTTTTGACTGGTCTTACCTTCCTTTGAACATCATTCATTTACTCTTTCTAGATTGCCAGTTTGAGCTCTCGGGAGCTGATGGAATAGTACGTTCTAGTCAGGTGGAACAAGAAGATAAAACAAAACCGGGCCAAGCAGTTGATTGCATATGGACAATTAAAGCTACTCCAAAGGCTAAGGTATTATTATGTATTGAATCACTTCATAGAAGAACATAATAATAAGATATAATTTGTATAATGAGTTTTTTAACTTCATATAAATATTTGATTATACAAACTGATATTACATCTTATTTTTTTTGTTGTTTGGTTTGGTTGCTTTTTTTTTTTAATTTTATTATTCATATGTGCATACAAGGCTTGGGTCATTTCTCCCCCCTGCCCCTACCCCCTCCCTTACCACCACTCCGCCCCCTCCCTCTCCCCCCCAGCCCCTCAATACCCAGCAGAAACTATTTTGCCCTTATTTCTAATTTTGTTGTAGAGAGAATATAAGCAATAATAGGAAGGAACGAGGGTTTTTGCTGGTTGAGATAAGGATAGCTATACAGGGCATTGACTCACATTGATTTCCTGTGCGTGTGTGTTACCTTCTAGGTTAATTCTTTTTGATCTAACCTTTTCTGTAGTTCCTGTGGGTTTTTTGTTTTTTTTTTTTTTTTGTGGGACTGGGGTTTCACCCTTGCTAGGGGCATTCTTCCACTTGAGCCGAACCTCCAGTCCATTTTGCTTTGGTTATTTTGGAGATGGGTTCTCTCCAAGTATTTGCCAGGGCTAGCCTTGAACTGAAATCCTCCTGTTCTCAGCCTCCCAAGTAGCTAGGATTACAGGCATAAGCCATTGGTGCCTGGCCTTGTTTAGTTTCTTGAGGCAGGGTCTTGCTCTGTAGCCTAGACTGGCCTCAAACTCGAAGTTGTCCTTTCTCAGCTTTCTGAGTGCTGAAATTTTATAGTTGTGTCCCTGCCCCCACACGTGCCCATCAACTACTTTTGGTGGGGGTGGTACTGGGATTTGAACTCAGGGCCTCACACTTGCTGGGCAGGCACTCGACCATTTGAGCCCCTCCACTAGTAATTTTGTGTGGTTATTTTTGAGATGGGGTCTCTTGAACTATTTGCCTGGGATGGCTTTGAACCACGATCCTCCTGCTCTCTTCCTCCTGAGTGGCTAGACTTACAGGTGTGCACCACCAACACCCAGCTTCTACCAACAATTTTTTAAAAATTAATTTTATTTCATTCACTTTACAGGCAACTGCCAAGACCCTACCATTGTTTTACTTAAACTGAAATATACATTTCAGGATCATTACATATTTATTATGATTCTTAATTTTAAAAGGTTAAGATTCTTAAAATGTGTGGATTCTTAAAATGTGTGGATTCCTAATTGGTAAGTACAAGTACTGATGATCAAAAAATCAAGAAAACCTTTTGATGGGGAGGAAAATTAGGCTGCAAGAGATTAGCATGTCTTGAAGGTTGCAGGGTTGGTTATTGATGACAGCCTGTAGCCTCACTGATTATTTTGGATTAATTTTTGCCAGGTGCTTTAAAGGTTTTTATGAGCTCAGGGCACTTTTGTTAATTTTTGTGCTAAGTGGCTCCTGGCTTGAGCAGGAAACGTAAATTCGTACCTGAATCCAAAGGATAACTAGGTATGAAATATTGGTAAGCTAAGACTCAGAGTCTTAGCTCTGAATTCTCACTGTGCTGTCCTCTGCTGATCACATAGTGCTTTCATTGAAAGCTTTGCAAGAAAGTACTTTCTGTATATATACTTCCCACAGATTGAGATGGCTTGCCAACTCTTTCACTTTTTGCTTTTAAGTTATCCTTTCAGAAATATCAACAGACTTAAAATTAGACTTAATGTGCATATATATATATATATATATATACGGATACATGTACATATATAAACATATATATGTGTGTATACGTGTATATATGAAAAGAGGGAAAAAAGGAGGGGTGAGAGAATGTACCTTTAAAGCATCATGAAGCTGGACATGGTGGAGCACACCTGTGATCCCAGCACTGAGGAGTCTGAGGTAGGAGGATCATGAGATCAAAACCAGCCTTGGCTATATGGCAAGACCATGTCTCTTTAAAAAAACCTCAAGAAAGTAAGATTTATAATTATGGTAATATGGTAGATAAGATAACCTGTAAAACATTTTAAGCAGATCAATTATCACTTGGAAACACTGGGTAACATTTACCAAATATCCTTTTAAAAAAACATACATAAGTTTCAGAAAACCCAGGAATTCTTGTGAACTAAAAGTGAAGTGTGATAACTATAAATTTGTGTCATAACTGAAATTGGTGTTACAGGTGCCCTAGCATTTGTCACTGACAAACATGGTTTTCTGGGCTTATTCTCGGGACGTGGTGGCAATTAAGCTGGGGTCTCCACAATATTTCATACCTAGATATTTACCTTTGGATTCGGGTACGAATTTACGTTTCCTGCTCAAGCCAGGAGCCACTTAGCACAAAAATTAACAAAAGTGCCCTGAGCTCATAAAACCTTTAAAGCACCTGGCAAAAATTAATCCAAAATAATCAATGAGACTACAGGCTGTCATCAATAAAATACCACAGAAGGTAATGTTACAGCCCAAATTAGAAAACACCTGTGTGGGGTAAGAGTTGCAGACAACACAAGCAATAAGAAGTTTAGTCTCTTAGACTAAACTTAAACTCTTAAAGCTCCTAGAACTCAAGTGTTTTAGAACTCCTACAAGAACGATCAAAAAGATGAGAAAGAAAAATGACTAGATATACATATTTTTAAATAACCAAATAGAACTGTACTAAAAGGAATGGTTATTCAAAGATCTGAGGAAATGTGCTCAGATGGTGCAGCCATCTATTGAGAAAAATTTCAAAAATTACTGAGGAACATGAGAGAGTGGCTCCCAATCAGGGAAACACATCCTTTAAATGAGGCTTTACATTGGCCCCACAGACAAAGAGAAAAACTTTGAAAACAACTAGAGGAAAAAAGAGATTGCCTCCAAAGGGATGCTCTTAAGGTTATCACCAGAGCCACCAATACCAAGATAGAAGCTCACAGTGTAATGTCTTCAAAGTGTGGAGAGAGAAATAAATAAAGACTGGTAACCTACATTTCCATATCTAAACTTTGATTCAAGAATGAGGGCAAAATAAGATATTTTTGGGCAAAAAGAATAGATGAATCAAATGTTAAAATCCAAATAAATCCTGTTTACAGGATAATTGCAGGAAAATTTGAAACTACAAAGTAAGAAAGAAATGCCAGCCAAATGCCAAATTAGAACAAAGTAGCTATGAAAGTACAAATCAAAAATGTCAATAATTTTACAAGGAAAATACAATATTTCAAAACCTTAATGATTGCCAGGAAAAATCCTGATACAATAAATAAGTTTCTTACCTCTCAACAATTAATAGATCAAGCTTACAAAAAATTACTGAGGCTCATAAGATTTAAGCAACATGGTATGCCTAATAAACATGCTGTGCAGCTCACAACATCCAGAGAATATGCATTCTCTACATTTACCAAAACTGACCCGTATACCAGCTAGCAGAGGAAGTGAATGTTTCCCAAAGCTTGGGATCATGGAGCGCTCACCCTGACAAAACATAGCTAAACTAGGACTCCCTAATCAAAAAATGACTTTTAGCTAAAATTTAATTCAAAAAGTTAAAAACTGTCAAATGTATAGAAACAAAAGGGTAATTTTAAAAGCAGTAATAAATTTAAAACAAAAATATTCTGGGTGTGGTGATATCTACCTGGTATTCCAGCCACTTAGAAGGAGCTGGAAGATCTCAAGTTCAAGGCCAGTCTGGGCTACTTAGTGAGACTTTATGTCAAAGAAAAATGAACCAAACCAAAAGCTGGTTCTGTGCAAAAGGTTACAGTAGGCAAACCTCCAGCAAGATTGATCCGGGGGGGGGGGG